GGACGGGCGGACGGCGAGAGCGGGCTCCGCGCCTGCGCGGCCCCTCCGGCCCTTCTGCGCCTGCTCCGCCGCCGCCATAGAGGCAGGCACACAGAAAGGGCGGGAAAGTCCCAGCGCGGCCGCTTCGCTCCCCCAAACGTGCGGCCCCCTAGCGGCCGGGCGGGCGGATCGGACACTTGCCCCGGTGGGAAGTTTGAGGAGGGGGGAAGGTCCGGTTAGGAGCGGAGGTTCGAATCCCGTACCCGGTGGGAGGGAGTAGCCCCGCTAAAGGAGGAAAGGACTTTAGTTCTTTTGCATCCGACAGAGCACTCCACCCGTTGGTCAGCGAGGGGCTGAGCGCTTCTGTATAGATGCCCCTGCCGCTTTCGAAACAGGAAGGAGCGACTGCAGCAAAAACCCACTCACCCCTTCCTTCTCCTGTGCCTTGGCTTGCAAGGAGCACGCACCTTATTTTCAAGCCTATTCCTCCTTTGGTAAGCACTTTAAAACAGGCACTAACAGCTTGTGCACCTTATTTTCATTTAAGAGCCCAAGGACTGGACCAGGTTACCCCCCCCAACTCTAACTCTTCCAAAGTTGCCTTTCCCAGCAGGCAGCTCTGCTGGGCACCAGCTATGCCGGGGCATCTCTGGGAGTGCTATGCATGAATGCATGCTGCTCCAAAATAATAATAGTTTCTTGCAAGAGCGGAGACAAGAGAGTCCATATGAAATAATAGCATGAAATCCTGCAGCAGCAATAATTTTAGAATGGCAGAGTTGGAAGGGACCCTATGGACCATCAAGTCCACTTCCCACCCTCTGGCTCCATGTAGGGCATATTACATTCAAAAAGAGCCAATGTCCGCACTAGGATAGACCATTTTCCATTTTTGCAGAAGTTGGTTTTGGCCAGGAGTCCCCCATTTGCTAGCCGAGAAGTGGTTTCTTGATGCTTTTGGCATAATAACATAACACACTGTACAGATGCTGATAAATGCACAACTTTATTTATGTAAGGAAATAAATAGCACCTATTTAAAAAACTGCTGATCTGGGTCTTCTTGTACAAAAATAAATTCTTCCAAGGGTGTTGACTGATTGGCTGGCCAGCAGCTCTTCTCACACGTAAACACTAAAGCCGTTCCAAACTCCACGGATACCTCTGGTAGGGTAGATATTTTTTTTTTCAAGATTGAAAGACATTGTCATTATATTTTATTTATTTAAGTATTTATAACAATCATAATCACTGTGCGCCGGCAAGTCAATTCTGACCCTCTTCAGGATTTTAAACATTCAGAGGTGCATTACCGTTCTCTTCCTCTGGGGGCGCTCTGAGACTGAGCAGCTTGCAGCCAGATAAGATATCTAAAACCCTGAGCTATCCAGCCAGCCATGTGACAGGTTTATTCATTTTGTTTTATTTGTTGTTTGTTTTAAACTTCTAAACTGCCCATCTGACAGATGGCCACTCTTGGCAGTGTACAACATAAACAACACAAACACGTAATTCATCAAAAAATTAAAATTAATATAAAATACGGTTAATAACAATTGATGGTGGTGATCAAGGCAGGGTGGGTAATCAATCTGTCTATAACAGCCCTACAAGCCTTCCTCACCTGCCTCCCTCGGTCTCTCACCTGAGGAATCCTTCACACAAGGCAGTTTAAGGCAGATGACAATTTAATACTTAAATAGTGCCAAACACTCTTCATAGGACAGACTACTGGTTACAACACTGATCAAAGCAACCATACCAATACCCCAAATCAATATGAAACCCAGAAGATGTAAAGAATCTGTAGGCTATCTGACAAGATTTATTTGCAGAGCAGAAAAAGGTAGCTATATTAGAGCATCTGAGAATGCACATCCATCTCAAGGGATCAAGCAGAGGAGAAGCCTCTAAGCTTCCGATCTGTCTTGGGAATAATACTCAGCTTGTCCTGCTTCTAGTACAAAGGGTGACATGCTTGCAGAAAATAAAAGTTATTGGATAACTCTTGGATGCCTTAAATATAAACATCAAGATAATTTGAAAGCAATGGAAAGGTAAATAAGGAGAAGATCTAGTTGCAACCTCAGGTTTTAATAATGAGTTTCATACCTCTGTCTTCGGTCTTGAGCATGCTGACCAAGGCTGGCATAAGCTGAAATTCAAAAATCCTCCTGCTTCTGCACTGGTTACAGGGCGGGACTGCTGTTGTGATGTCAGTTTGAGGAGAGGTGATAAATAACGGCTGGCCACCCCAGGAGTACCTAGTGGTCATGAGATGCAAAATGTATGCATGCCTTTAGTCACACCACGAAAACCACATACTTCTTGCATCAGTATGGAGGTCCTCTTCCTTCATTCTCTGTCTCTCTCTCACTCACACAGACACCTCCAACGTTCAAGTTTCTTACACAAAGCAGCAGCCATCCAAGTTATGGGCAATTTGCATGGTTTGTACAATTCTGTACAAAATACAGACGTTTTGGCACAAAACAAAGGGGAGAACTATTCTCGAAGGCTTTTACGGACAGGATCCAATAGTGGTTGTAGGTTTTTTGGGCTATTTGGATATGTTCTGGAGGTTTTTCTTCCTAAGGTTTTGCGAGTCTCTGTGGCCGGCATCTACAGAGGACAACTGAAGATGCCCATGGCCACAGAGACTGGCGAAACGTTAGGAAGAAAAACCTCCAGAACACGGCCAAACAGCCCGAAAAACTTACAACAACCAAAGGAGATTATTCTTGTTCCTTGCTCTCCTCATTGGTAAAGAGGAGAATCCTGCAATTCCGTATTCTTTAAAACAGAAATGAAGCAAAGAGACCACCTTACCTTAAAATCTGTTCTGGACACACAGAAATTCTTTTCATAAACTTATGGAACACCAGGTCTTTTTTTTCAGCTTCGCTCTTCTCATATATTTCATTGCAGCCAACAGTTGTGTAACTAAATAAATTTGAAAACATGTACCAATATGGTATTCGTAATATTACAAAAAACCTTAACATAAACTCAGACATGCTTTCTACTTAGCAGAATGTGAGCAGATTGTGACATTTGTTCAGCAGATTGTCCAGGACTGAAACATGCCAAAACCAGAGACCTGAATTAAAAGATTACGCATCCACTCAGCACAAATGGACACTAATATTCAACACAAAGTTCATATTCTCATGTACTTCCAGGGGAAATGGGCTCAGTCTCAGCAGCCAAGCAAATATAAAACAAGCATTCTGCTTTCTCTCTTTTCTTCTGCTAGAGGTCAAATGTCAAGATCTGATCCAGAGAGCAACACTGCACCAAAGTCAGACCAACAAAGGCCTACAGTGTGTTGTTTACGAATATGACACCTGCTGTCGGCTCACTTGCTCAGGAAAGCTAGCAGGCTGCTTTCCTCTATCCTTTTTGCTACGTGGGAGCAAACACTTTGCTTTGCTTTGGGGCCTTCTAAGGCTGAACGCTCCGCTTCAGAAAAAGGTTTGGAAAATTGTGTCCAATCAAGGGCTGGATCAAGCATGTTGCAGGTATCGCAGCAGCTGACTTCACACCATGGCTGCTTTTCCAACTACTGTACAATGTTTTCCATTGTATTCAATGTCAGGTATTTTATATGGAACAAATTACTGTACAGTGAAATCGTAAGGTAAGAAGAGCCAAGACTGATCAGGCCAAAGGCCCCTCCTAGCTTAGCATTTTGTGTCTAGAGTGGCCAACGATCCTCCCAGAGGACAAGAGAGCAACCAGACCCTTTTGCTTGCACTTCTTCAGTAACAGACACCTCGAGAGGCATCATGCCTCTGGCGGGCAGTGCAAGAACTATATGTCCATTGCAACCAGGATCCCCATCCTCTGTGGACTTACTTTGTTCCCCTTTAAAAATGAGCCATTAATGCTTCAAACTCCACACCTGCTCTGTGAAGCTGAACCAAACCAGAGACCCCTTCTTCTGTACCAAAGGTCTCCAATATCAGACGTGACTCAAGCATCTCTCACCTTGCTGATGTCAACTCTGCCATGTCAGTTCCTTCTCTCTGCTGATACTCTTTTAAGAGTTTATGGGCATGACTGGTATCTTCATAGCCGTGATAGTCTTCTTCGTCCACTACACTAATATAGTAGGGCTGAAACAGGCGAACGCAGGCAGGCATGAGCTGCTCTTCCTCGTAGCAGTCAAAGGGAGGGGAGGCAGGCTGGACTTCTTCCAGAGTAAGATCTTGGAAGTGGCTCGTGCAATCCCATTCTCTGGGTAGACAGTCCGACTTGCTGTGTACGTTAAGGCTGCAGCTTGCCGAAAATCCAGAAGACGCCACTTCATCCTCACCATCATCTCCCCAGTCATCTGCTCCTTCGCACCAATCGCTGGCAGCAACCACACGTTCTTCCTTCTGTAAATGGAAGGGCACAAGTCCATGGGAGGCTGCTGGATACCGAGCTTGGCTCACCCAGCTGAGGACGGCTTGCCCTCCCCAGGAACAGCCCAGACAGAGTCCTTCTCAGCCCCGCTTTGAGAGAAGGGCAAAGGCTGAAGCATTCAAAGACCACTCTGTTTTTTAAAAAGGCAATAGCACCACAGTAGGGACCATCTTAAGGAGACATCCCCTCTGAAGTGAGAAAAAAAAAGAAGGAAGTCTGTCCTATGAAGGGCCCCAATGCTTTGCAAATTCTTTGTATACTGAAATGTACTAAAAGTTAATTTTTGAAGCTGACAAGAGAAAAACTGCCATCGAATAAATTGGAGGTATATTTTTAAACAGCAACGACTGTCTACTCCAACCAATCATTCAGAGATGTAGAAAGGTATCTGTGGCGTCATATACATGTCATTGTTTTGGTGCCATTTGTCACCCAAGCTTATATCTGCTTCAGATAATTTAGCGAGATCAACCTGGCATGAATTACATGGCTTTATTTTTGAAAAGATGTTTTTTTTTCTGAGGAAACTAATACACAAGACTTTCCACAATGTTTCTGCCACAGACCATATGCTGCTATCTTACAAAAAAGCACTCATTGGCACACAATACCTGCTTGAGCTTCCGTTCTTGTGTTCCTTTCTTTTGTACTTCCAAATACTGGGAACGTAACACCTTCCAGCTTTAGAAGCATAGCACAGACAACCAGCAAAAAAGAGACACAAACAGCATTTATGAACTTAAAGTTGATGCTTGAATAGAACAATACAGCATGGGGCTTGGAGGCTGAAGTTCATGAATCAGAAGGATTATGCTCTGAACCCTTTTCACAAATGCCCTGGGATGGCTGTAAGAGACATAAGGATTGGAGTGCTCTAATTCAACACTGTCTGCTCTGTGTTTCTCCCTGTTTTAGACAGGAGTCTTCTGCCCTTCTACCTAGAGGACTCTGGGACCAAATGTGGAACATTTTCCGTTCCATGTACAACTCCTTCGTACCACCCCGTCCGTCTGCCTTATAAGACTGAGAGAATTTCACACGTACAGTCAGGTTTTCATTATTTACCACAACTATTTCACCCCACAACTCTAGGAGTCAGGATCCATATGCAGCACAAGATGAAAAGCTTATGCCTACATTGATGAAAAGACACACACACACACGTTTAGACAAACCAAAACAACCCCTCCTGTTGTTCACCTCTCTGACTTCCCCCAGCAGCTTTTCACAGCGCAAGCAAACACATGGAGGACGCGGTGGAATGGGGAGCCTTCCAGAGGGCAGGAGATCTGCACAAGGAGCACCAAGCCGGACTTGCAAATCCCGCAGGCAGGATGAACCGGAGTCACGGACGGGATGCGATCCTAAGGCAAGAAGCAAAGCAGAGAAAGGAGGAGTCACTCCGCTAAGCTGTCCCTGAAGAAGGGAGGCCAAACCCTCCGGGAGCCTGGCGGTCCGTCGAAAAGCCTCCCCCCCCACACACACACACACTCCATGGCTGGCTCTCCTTCCCTCCCTCCTTTCCCCCACAAGGACAGATTTATTTTCCTCCCATCCTCTTTTATGATGTAAACACTTGACTTTTGAACAAGGGGCCCAGCAGTCGCCAGGCCCCCTGAGGTCTGCCCACCTCCCCCCCAACAGCTGTTCTGCGGGGACCACGACTCCCAGAAGTTCCACCCTCCTGGCAGCTCCAGCTGGGGCTGCTGGGAGTTGTAGTCCACGAGGACCCAAGCCCCCTCCGCTCCCTGTGGGCACCGAGGGGGGGGGAGAGCTTTTCCTTGTCCTTTCCTAAGGCAGGGAAGGAGGCCGGGGGGTGGGGGTGGCCCTTCCAAGCAGGACCACCGGCGAGGCCCGGCTGCTCACCGGAGCCCCGCCGAACTTGCTCGGGAAGCCTCCCTCCCGGAAGTCTGCAGGGGCGGCGGCGGCGGCGGCATCGCGGAGGCCCAGCAGCACCGGCGGCGGGAGGGCCGTCATCCCAGAGGCTCTACGTCACATCCGTTGGGCACCGGAAGGACGGAAAAAGCGAAGGACCTAGCGTTCCACCGGCTAAAGAGTCCCCCTCGGCTCCCCAGCTGCGCCACTGGCATTCCGCCCTGTTCCCAAGAGGAGGGATCGCACGCTGAGCAACGAAAGATGCTACGCTCGTGTAAAGGGACCCAGATGCTGCTGGTTGGGGAGGAGTCATTTACAGGCTTGTGGAACCTAAATAAGCATCATGATGATGATGCCTTAAGGTTTCATGGTGTGCGGCTGGTGTTTTCGGTTGTCCCAAGGCTTTGGTTGGGCTTTTGCTTGCGGCAGTGACGGAGAGGCCTCCTTCCCCCCCCCCCCCATTCCTGCAGAGACCCATTTCCGAGAGGGCGCCCATCAGCCTCACAAAAAACTGCCCTAACCCCGCAAGCTCCCCCCCCCCCGACATTCCTGCAGAGACCCATTTCCGAGAGGGCGCCAATCAGCATCACAAAAAACTGCCCAACCCTGCAAGATCAGCAGCCACCGTATTTCTAGCTAAAGGCAAAGAAGGAAGATGGAGACCAAGTCAGGCGAGGCAGCTTCGGCCACATTGAGTATGAGTCCTCAAAGGGGCCAGAAGGCAGTTTTTGGTGCAAAAAACAAACAAACCTGGATACAGGTATCACCTTGAAAATGTTAAAGATGTTCCATCTCTCCTTCCAATAAATTTTTGTTACAATTCAGCGCACTGAATGCAGATGCAAAAAATGGAAGACACAGAAGGCACTCAAGACTGAAGCTCTGATCCCCTCCCAAATTCCTTTGCATGAGCTTTAATGAATTTGAACTCTATGGAACCAGTTTCAGGGCAGACGGAGGGCATGTGAGGCTTTTTGTCTGAAATCCAGGAGGAAGTCACAGCTCTTGAAATCCACAGGCTGAAATCCAGGGCAGGGCTCATGGCCATGATTAGGTTCCACAGGCAGCCGTAACATGCAAGCAGGCAAGAATTATGGCCTCACTTGAATGGAGGACAAGTCTTGCTCCTCTGTGTACTTTTGAACAAACTGTCCAGAATGCTCCACAAACAAGGGCTGTGGTTGCTGGATAGCCTCCTTGAGATTGAAAAACTTTCCTGCTCTTTATTTGGCCATATCATACAAGAGTGAATCATTTTAAAATGGCACGTCTTGGGCAATTAAGCATAAAATGGATGTAAGTCATATTAGCAGTTTTTCTCAGTGAATGATTCTGGGGAGATACAGGGTGATATCGCACCTATATTCTAGCAGCCCCTACTTCTTCCAACCCTGCCTCTGGGGAACAAACCCAATAGAAGTGCATTAAATATTGTACAATGAAATTTTTTTTCTCTCAGTTTATTTAAGGAAGAAAAATTGCCTGAAGTTTGTAACAGGGTCATAAACTCAGTTTAGATTATGCTCACAATAAATTCAGATTTTGTTTCTAAAACCACATAGTTTTAAAGAGAACATCATGGTTGAAATCTTACAAAAATTGGGTTACATTTTAAAAATAATCTATTTTTGTTTTCAAAACCTCATCTGTTCACAAATCTTGCTGAATTCTTCACTTAGGTGAAAAGTGGCTGTTTGAAACAGCACATTCAAATCAAGTGAGATTACAGGTTTATATTCCCCTACCCTGCACATGAGGAAATAGTAGCCTCAAAATAAGAATTCTGGAGTGCTATCTCATCCCAGGTGACAAAAGCAAATACGAGTTTGGAAGCAAGGATTGGCTTGAAAAAATGTTACAAAGACTATTTTTTATTGAACTGTTTTGTGCGGCTTAAAAATAAAAGCTCCACTTTTCTGCAGCAAGGGACACTGAAGGTATGCCATGCTGCTGATTACTGGGATATAACCCCCCTCCCCCGGCAAAGAAGTAAATCCAAAGGATTGGTCAGTGAGAGGAAACCAATTCATACCTTCACAGCACGTCTCATTGGTATTTACAATTTATGTTTTAAATAGACCTTATACAGTATACATAGTTATTGCAAAAGTACAGCACTTGCCTTTTCTTAAAAAACAAACAAAACAAAAACTCAGAACTGTTCAGTATCATGATTTGTGGATCCCAAAAGGCTTTGTTGTTAACATGCAAAATTTTCTAAACAATAGTATCTAATTTCTACTGCTGCCAAATACTTGACCTCATATGGAAACCAATTACAAAATACTTCCTTATAGTGCTATACAAAAAGATACAAAATTACGATTCTATCACTTAAATAGTCCCATTTTTAACAGTGCAGTAATCCACATTTAATCACTACTGAACATGAAGGAGAAACAAAAAAAGGATATTAGATAAAATTTTAATCTTTGGATCCCTTTATTCCTGTGGCTTTGATATACAGATAAAAATACATGTTGCCAGATTACTATTTCTAATTATAACTTACTATCAAAAATAACTCATAACTAGTAATTGAAAACTGGCAAAAATGTACTCCATACCAAATCACTGTTGGGATGCTGGTCTAATAACGAGCAGTGAATGCTTCCAAGCTACAGTCCATCAAAACTCAAGCAACTGCAAAACACTAAGAAATCACTTTTAATTGAGTATGTCAACAATATTAAAACAATGTCAACATTTTCAGAATTGACACACGGAGACATCTCACTCTAATTCCAGGCATGTCAAAGTGAACATCAGAAGTGCCTGGGTCATTTTTTACTTTAACAGTTATCACTAATAAGTACTTGGGATTGTGCCATGAAGCGTTGAGTTTGCCTTTATTTGCAAATTCCACCTAATCTTCTCAAATCCTGCAATATGCCAAGAATTACAAAATGAATTTCTTGTAAGAGAGTTATTTTATCCAGTTTTGCATAATGGAAGAACATTTCAAATATGTATTTATAGTCAAAATAGAAAAGCAAACAAGTTTAAAGCTGGAAAGCTACAAAGAAAACCCCAAACAACTTAACTTGTGTGTATTTGTGTGTGTGTGTGTTTGGCATTTCAACACAGGTTTGTAGACTTAAAAATGTTTATTCTTAAAAAATTAGTTGCTTTTTATACAGCTATACAAAGTCCCTAGTGTTTCTTTGGCAATGGGATAATCACAGAAGTATACAACTATAAAAAGTCTTCCTTTGCCCAAGAAACAGGATTTACTGTGTTTACATTTTTTTTTAACTGACAAATCAGGTTTCTACTGCCCAGCACCCTATTTGACAAAAAGTACAACTATCTCAAAGGGAGATTACTGGATTTCCAAAAACAACTGTCACTGGATCAACACACTCACAGTACTGGCGGCCCTCTGTCGTTGCAGCCTGCAGCAATTATTAAGTACAATTTTGGTTACGAAAAATCTTTTGTGATGAAAAAAATACTTAAAACTCCACTCAAGTACTGCTTTATAGTCTAACTATATGTAAGAAATTACTTAAGTCTTTTATCTCAAATATATTTAATGCTCATGGTTTCTGAAGATGGCCATTTTTTTTTCCTGAAGGGTTCCTGCTCCTTGCCCCTTTGAAATCAGAAACAAACCCCACCCCACCCCAGTGCTGGTGACAAGTTTTACAGCGAATTAAGTTAATTCTTTGCAAAGACCAACCCCTTCTCTGGACCTTCAGGCTCTACCAGCCCACCTGCTCTGAACCTCTTTGCAAGCTAGGCAGCAACTTTGTTGTCTTTCTAAAAGGAAAGAAAAGAAGACGAGCATTACTTATCATCCAGACATAAATCAAATAAAAAAAGGAACAGGCTCAAGGTAGAGGAGGCTACTGTTTCCCCCCACTTATGCCCACCTCCCCCAAATCATCAAAGCTCTAAGTCTGGGATAAAGAGATTCTACGGCAACATCTCCCGGTGGAGCTAGGAGACAGCCTTGTCTAAGAGCCACTCAAGGAAGGGCAGCCTGACTGCCGGAACACTGTGTAGAAGTACAAACTGGGAGGGAAACAAGGACAGTGAGGCAGGAAGGTCATTCAGCGGAGAAAAAACACCTGCCTTTCATGTGTCTCTGTATCATAATTATCTTAGAGCTGGAAGGGACCCTACCAAGGAGGCAACATGAGGAATAAAACTCCCAACCTCTGTTCCAAATGGTTTCCATTTCTGCACTGCAGACTATATAGAGACTCCTCTGTCATATGTTGGCATACAGATATTGAAAATAAACCATCTCCAGGTTAGGGTTAAGCAAAGAACATCGGCCATTAAGTCTGTAAAGCACGTGTTACCCTGTATTCAAAATCTGCAAATTCCCGGCCACCGCGTCCGCCTCTGAATCCACCACGAAATCCTCGAGGGGTGCCGTAACTGCCTCTCGTGCCTCCACGTCCTCTACCTCCTCGGAAGACACCAACTCCTCCGCCGCCTCCTCTACCTCTGAAGCCACCCCGGCCACGGTTTGGACGCAATGGAATCCCAAATGTCTCTGCATTTAGCCGTCTTTCTTCTGCCCAGGTTGGTCTTCGTTCTCTGAAACATGTTAAGTGGCAAGAGTGCTTGCTCAAGAAGGAAGAACAGTCTGATTCTCTAAAGTTGCATAGATTTCTCTCTACAGCCGAAATCCTCTTGCCTAGCATAGTAAATTGCACTAGAGTAGGGCCACAGAATCAGTGGGGATCTGGTGAGTCAAATCTACTTTATGCTCCATTGATTCAAATGAGGCTAACTGACTTATTTTAGCACAGCATGTCACAGTTACAGTTGGCACACTCAATCAATGGAACTTATGGATGAGTTGACTCGCCAAATCTCTACTGATTTAAATGACCTACTTTAGTTGTGTTTTTAACACCAAGCAACAAGTGTTGGGACTATTTGTGATACTCATAACATTCCAGGTGCATCAAGAGGCACTGAGTAAAATTCCACAGAAAACATATATTACAGGGTCCAATTTTGGTGTAATTTAACACAAATCCAGTTTAAAACATGGCTAGAATGAGAAAACAGACTCAAAACCCAAATTACTGATTTTTTAAATCCTCCTTGCGAGAAATACTAGGCTTAATAGACAAATGATATGACTCCTATATCCCTACTGCTAAAAAGTGTCTTAGAAATGTTTGTAGAGCACACTGTAGAAAATAACATACCAATATGTTTTCCCATAATGAGACACCATTCAGGTGATTACTAGACCAAAAGATCAATATAGACAAAAATAATGAACATCTCCACCCCTTTTCACAGTCCAGGGGAACAACAAAGAACCTGCAATTGTCCCTTCAATTTTTCATGCTAACTGTGGGTTACTATATGCAACAACAAACTATAGTTAACTTAAACGATGGTTTATTGAAAATGTTACTCTGGATGACATCATAGTTTGTTTAAAAAAACAATGGCTTGAGCTAACCTTGGTTCTTAGTTCAAACACAGTGAGAAATTGCAATTGGCTTAAAATTGTAAGGGGAGACAGAAGAACCAACTTAAATGAGAGATAGGAAGTGTGCAGTAGCATAAAACTTACTGTGGTTCAATCATACAAACAGCATTAAAGACAGCTTGATGTTACATTAGAACCAAGACTATTTAGTTTACTTGCTCCAATGGCCAAATTATTCCAAAGGGAATAATGTGTTCAACTTGCTCTAAATGACAAACCTTAGACCTGATATTTCCTTTTGTCATGAAATGTATCAATTTGCTATTAGACTGCATGTCAATAAGAGCCAGATGGGATTTGGTTCTGCATTGTGGCATCTGCAGGTCTTTGCCAGTCAATGAAGGAAAAACAGTGCCATTTTCTGCTTCCTCAAGGGACTGCTAAGAACAAATGTAGTACCTATTGTCGTCACAGGAAATGTTATCGAAGAAGGACTTGGTTTTGTCATAGTAACAGTTGGGTCCAAGTGGGTCTTCTTCATCTGCATTTCCTTCACTGTTTTGGGTATCAACACCCGAGTCCCCCTTGTCTTCTCCATTTACTGGCTTCTCTGGCTTGTCTTCTAGAGGGGAAGAAAAAAAGAAGAAGAAGGAGCATTTAAACAAACATTTGAGGCAACTACATCCTTAAAGGAAAGGCAGTAAGCCACCTAATTGGGCTTTGCCACCACCCATAACCAGAACTGAGGCGGGGGGAAAAATCACATGTGGGATCCTTTCAACAGATCACAGAAACCACAAGGTATTAAATTAGTCCTTTGGAAGGGCAGAGGAACTAGAAATGCCCGGGGCCGCAGGCAAATGTTTGCCAATCCTGTCGCAGCAAGGGAGTCCAAAGAAAGCCTTCTAATGCCCAGTGAAGTAGAATGGAGAACCACATACAAGGTTATAAACGTGTGGCTTAGTCTTTTACCCATCTGAAAGCAAGCACTCCGGGTTAGAGTCGGATTTAGTTGCACTTAGGACAGTATCACTGACATAAGGCTGGGCTTGATTTATTCATCACTGCTTTACGTTTCATAGGTTTCCGTGGCTCTATTACACCATGGAGAGAAGAAGAGGCTGAAGAGAACAGGAAGAAACTGACCGCTCACAAGTCCTTGAATGTATGTAAGTGAACTCCCTGCCCCTTTTCAGCTAAGAATGCTTGAAAAATCAATTTCCAAAACACTGCACATTGTTAACTTTTAACTTTCTGTCTTGTAGGAATTTTAAAAAGCTAATTCACAGCTCTGCAAACCACCTGTTTCCTGTAAGCTAAGCCTCTACAGAATGCCAAAGAGGCTTAGCTTACAACTGGCCTTCTTTCAAGAAGTCTCAAGGAGGCAGAATTTGATGTAGCTTACAGAAAGCTGAAAACTACATCTAGTTTTGCCACCCTGGAACTTCCTGAGGAGAAAGACAGAATAGGAGTATTTTAAATAAATAAATAATGACAGCAGATCATTATAGACTTTCAGCTTACCTTTCAGTTTTAGCTTATTATGAAATTCACGATCTATTTCCTCTTTATTAAACTGTGCATTTGCACTTTCGAAGTCAAAGTCCTTCTCAAACTTCATTGGAACATCACGTCTAATACCAAATCTTCCTCTGCCTCCTCGATGACCCCCACGCCCCCTTCGTGTTGAAGATGTACCTGCAACTGGGAGGAAAAAAACTGGATTTGAAGGGAGCTACAACCAAAGATCTGTAACTTCAGGTTTTCAGTCTGTCTTGTAAGCAATAGCCCCAAATAGTTCTCAGACTGGACTAAAAAGACAGCTTTCTGTCTGCCAAGCAGGGTTGATGATATCAAGTAACAGCATCAGATCTTCAGACAATATTGTTACATTTTCATGCAATAATCTATAGTCCCATCTTAGGTACTTATTAAAGATGTGTCTAAGAAATAAAGCAAAATGTCTAAACATTTATGAAACTCCTTAAAAAAACTCTCCACTGCAATGACTGCCACAAGATTAAAACCTGCTTTTTTATCTTAAACCCACTGCTGATTAATTGCAATAAGGAACATAATAAATCTGTTTTTGTCTTTTATTTATAGGCTGCCTTTCTCCCAATGAGGGGACCCAAAGTGGTTCACAATGTTAAAAGAATAGAATTAAAAACATAGTAACTTAAATACCAAAAAGCAATTAAACTATGCATTAATTAAAATGCAATCCAGTAATTAGAAGCAAGTAAACACTAATAACTATCTTAACTCAAAAATGGCACTCAGGGACTATTTTGAGATTCCTAAAACAACACTCCATCACAATATTCTGTTTTCTCCAAATGCAAATTCAGTTTACCCAGCTGCCGTTTGTTTTCATTTCTGAGATGCTCTGCTTCGCATCTTGAAATCTTGTGTGCTTCAGCTTGGAAAAACAATAGAAACAGTTGTTATTTGGCATTCTATGTGCACTCACACTCTATACAAAGAGAGCTGAACAAACTATCTCATTTCATCAACCCCTTATTGAAACCAAGGCCTCTGTGTGGACTCTAGTCACTCTCCTTCCCACAGTGATCCTAGGGCTGGAAGGAATATTGCAATTTGAGGAAGTACTGTCAAAAACCCTAGTGTGACCGGGGGGGGGGGCTACTGCAGGGTTGAGGCTCCTCTGCTGCCAAAAATATTCCTCAGAAAAGCACTCTCCGGAGACCTGAACAGGAGCTCCCTCCCCCTCCTACACACTGCTGCTTTTTATGCAGGGCTGATGGTCTCTATTCTACTTTATATCTGAAAGACCACATAAGCATTTTATTTTTCTAAAGCTGCAAAACACTGACCTTCAGCTCCAGAGCATCACCGTTGGGATACAGCAAAAGGGAAGAGGACTGTAAAATACTACCAACAGAACGTAACATAATCATCCGTATCATCCAGTTCTACCTCTCCTGTGCTCCTGACTTTCTGAGGATTTTTGGCTCGCAGATGCCATGGATCTGGCTGAAATGGGACTCCTCCTTCCAACTGGTGCTGAAGTAGGCAAGTGGGTGGAGGCCGTCTGCACGGCTTGTTCCAACATTGGGCTCTTTCTCAAATGGTCTCCTGCAGGACTTGAGCGACCTGAAACAGAGCCAGAAATCTTATCCCCATGTTTCAGTATTGTTGTCAGGTCTACTCATCTGTTTCATATTATATAAACTTAAATAAAACTAAGATTTGTTCATGCCCTTTGAAATTACAGATATGCCCTCTGTACAGATTATTTTTATGATTATTTTTATCAACTGACCTACTGACAACACTCAATCACCTGATACAATAGTCTTTCCTTTAATGCAATTAAAAAACAACAACAACCAAACAGCAGGACACAATAGCAAGAAACCTGGTTGTAAAGAAACAGATATTCCAGTGTTTTCATGATTAGCATTTGGAAGGATGCAACCTTTATTACTTAAAACCTTTTCAGTGCAGGTGCTACTATTAATATTGTGTACCCAACTGACTAAACCTAGAAATAGGAAGTATGCAAGACGGAACTTTTCTGAAAAGGTGGCCAAAGCCTTGGTGGCTCCCTGCCTGGAAAAACAAACAAGAGTAGAATCTGACTTCCAGTGGTGAAATATACACAGTGATCTCCACACCAAGCAATAGATAAACCACTTGTTCAAGAACTCTGGATATTGTATTGCTCACATAAAAGGTTGTGTGAGTGATTTAATAATCACTGAACCATTCCAAAAGTAGAAAAAAAATAAAAAAGGAACAAAGTAGACTTAAACAAAAAACAAAACAAGGAAACCCATTAAAGCCTTATCCTACTATTTTTTCCCCTAAAAAACCTTTTGGATATTTTAATATTAATTCTTTAACTCGGTTTTAACATTGCAGCTTGTTATGCTTTAATTCACCCTGTTATTAAGCATCTTATGAGTTACCTTGGAGGGATATAATACATAAGGCAGTTTACATTAATATCTTATAAAGTTAAAAAAGGTTCTGAAAAATCAGCAGTGTCATTAAGAGCAGTGTCATTCTGCAGTAAATAAAAAAGAAAGCAAAATTCATTTGTTAAAAGCTAGGAAGAACAGGATGATTATTATCTATAAATCTAGTAAAGAAGGAGCTAACATGCATTTGCTTGGAGAAAGACCCAACGCCACAGGGAAGCCTCTGTCGCCAGCTGTCGCTGCCTACACTCCAAAAATAGGAGCACCAAGGTCAAAGCTACCTATGTCTACTCAAGCCAGCATCCACGTTTTTCTTTTAACTGAAGGGAATCCGGAACCTTAAAAATACTTTGCTGCTACCAATGAAAGCTTTTTCAAAGCAAAGTTGTGGTGTCAGAGGATGATGTGAAAGTATGTGTGTTTTCAGCGTTAGGACCCTGATCACACTGGAGGCTACATATTAGTAATGGGAAGGACACAGTCACTACCAGTATGACTGCCTGGAATCAGTTCAGCTTTTGGAACAAAGGTAATAATTTCAGAGGGTCTTCCATTCCTGAACTATGTGGCTCCGTTTCCAAAACATATTTAAACAGGATATTCTGAACAAAATACATGATGACCCCCCTCCCATAAGTGCAGATCTACTCAAGATAAAGAATATGCCACTAATTGTTACCTTGTGAGACCTGTGTTTTAAGTGGTCTTGCATCTGTTGTAAAAGTAGAACCAACAACACTGCTTGGGGGCAAATTCGAACTGGCTGAAGTCTCAGTGCCAAAAGATGTCAGTGAACTTCCTGCATAAAGACAAGGGACGTTAAACCTGTCTTTGGACGTAAGCACGTATAACAAACTGCTAGGGGTGTGTGTGTGGGTGGGTATTTGTTAAGGGGGAAGACTCTTCTTGATGAAAGCATCTGAGAAGAGCATGGCCTTACTGGCCAGTAAGATGGGTCAGTTGGGAGTATCGGTGACTCTGAGCTAAGGAGGGCTGGAGTTGTAGATGAAACCTGTTCTTGGCAAATACATACATGGGCTGCACTACCCTTTAAATGACTTATACGGTGAGAGTACATAACAGCTAGAAATGGAGGTGGTTTATTTAGTATTTTCTTTCTTTTTATCATACATGCTGTATGCCGTCCTTATTTCTCAAAGACAGAAATTACTGTTTCAAGCACAGGAACATGATGCACTTACTAACAATGAATTGCTTGCCAAGGAAAAAAGTTTGAATACAAACATACCAACGCCAACAGCGCCAAACTGCTGACCCACTAAGGGACTTGGACTAAACTGACTGTAGGCTGGCATTCTGCCAAAAGGACCGTAGGAGCCCACTGACTGGAATGAAGAAGGAGCTGATGACCCTAGAGAGGACTAAAGAAAAACACATTCATGCAAAGATGCGGCCAAGAACAATATAATATCGTGAAAAAGGCACATGTTGATGAAAACAGATGTGAAAACTCTTTTGGCAGGGCTGCTCAAGTACAGTCATCTGGATACAAACACTGGTTCACCTGGTTACAGATACTTATCCAGCTGACAAAGTGAACAGCCTGGCAAAGCTTTCAGTGGTACGCATTAGAGATGTGTAGATTTGTTTTTTAATTGCAGCCCCCAGAACTCCCCTTTCATTAATGGCAGGGTAACAAATCAAGTGACACTTCATGGGTGTATTTTGATGAATGTACAGTGAAAAGGAGCACAGGCTATGCGAGTGGCATACAAATAATTTGCTCCCCTTCTGTGACAAGTTTTTTCCTTGCCTCAAAGGACTGGACTGTCATCTCTGAGAGAAAACTGCTTGGCCTCTAGCCTGCTAGTTGTTTACATGGAATGAATCTGTTTCTATTTTTCTGGCACATGTATAACCTTAAACTCCCTTTCCTTACTTTGCTGTGGCTGTGTCTTTTAAAGGAGAACTGCTACACAACAACTCCCATACCACACAAAATTGTCAATCTGAATACCTAGGTACGATATATATTTTTAGTGTTGGCAGAAATAATGTGCAGGCCTAATTAAATGCTGTGGCAGTATTAATGCTCGGCAGTACCCAGAATGATACCTGATTAATCTATTCTATTATTCTGTTTCCTTTTTACTTATTTTATGTTTTAGAATGTACTAGTGGCTTATGCAGAAGAGGCACTGTAGTAGTTAGCTGTGTTAGTTTACTATAACAATTTATTATCAGAAGCAGTTTACGAAGCACTCAGTGTCCATGAGGATGAAGGATGGCCTAAAATAGTTTAGTTGATCATCGGACAGTGCAGTCTCCCTTTGTCAAATAGTCAGGGAGAACATGCTGAAACTCCGCATGTATGGAAATCACTGAGATTCTCAGCCACAAAGTCATGTGGATCGATCCTGAGGATGGTGGAGGTACAGAAACTGGGTGGAGTAACTCACCCCCCACTGCAACCTAAGCATTCTATTTATATTCAGACTTATTTACTTATTTATTTACTTATTTTAAATTAGCTTTCTGCTGAAGATTGTGTTTGTGGCAGTAGCTTCACCCTGCAGAGTTTCAGGAGCTTAATCCAGATAAGACAGAAGCACTGTGGGTGGGGTAATCTGCTGAGTATGGTAGAGGGATTCAACTGGTGTTGGACTTCCCACTTGCTTGCTTTGTATTAGAGCATGCACAATTTAAAATTATGGATGTATATGCAATGTAGGCATCAAGCTCACAACTTGAAGTGCTTCTGATATCAAGAGTGCCTTGAAACAACAATACCAGCAAAAATTAGTAAACTGTTTACTAATTTGGGCTTGCTTAAGTCCTTGCTGGGGCTACAACTGCCAAGTGAATTACTTGGGCTATTTGAAGACTCCGTTAATATTCAAGGGGCCCAGAAACAGGGGAAACATTAGCTAGCTTCTGAAAGCACACTGACCAAAAACCAAGCATGTGCAGTTTTTAACTATGTGGAGTGGCCTCAAAAATCATGCAATATAAGGGAGGGGAGAACTAGTTAATGGACACATTATAATAACAAGATGACGTTTATAATGCTGTGTTTCAATTCTATAAAACAAAGTGAAAGCATCCCATCTACCTACTTTCACGCCATGCACACAAAAACACTGAATGAATTACCGTGTTTCCCCAAAAATAAGACAGGGTCTTATATTAATTTTTGCTCAAAAAATGCATTAGGGTTTATTTTCAGGGGATGTTTTATTTTAGTTATGTCATCTTCTTCTGGTTGCTGCACAGTGGTGGAGGGCGGGGTTTCACTTAACTGGGGCTTATTTTTAGGGTAGGTTTTATATTATGAACACCCTGAAAAATCATACTAGGACTTATTTTCAGGTTAGGTCTTATTTTCAGGGAAACAGGGTATATATATGCAGAAACAGCTCAAACATTTTTGGTAGCATGATTGTACCTGAACTATAGCTGGATCCTGAGGCAGAGAGCACTGTGGCTTAGGTGGTTCACAAACAGTTAAATCTTTGATATCGCTGCCACGAAATATAATGTATTCAAAGACTTCATCACGAGGTGGTATGGGTCGATCAGTTGGTCTATCTTCTGTACCAAAAGAACGAACTGCAGAATAAAAACACACATTTTATCATGTCTTATCCAGTAGTTTTACATAACTGATACATTTCTGTATCCACACAAATAAGTCAGAAATTAGAGATTGTTAAGCTTTTGGTCTAACCAACTACATTACAGGATAGCATGCCATATTTGCCAAATCTGTAGGTTGATAACTTATGGGAGAGTACGACCCTTAAAATCAGCTAAATACAAACAACTGTAGCAATTTCAGCAGAAATTCTGGAAATAAAGTTTTGAGATGCTCTTCTGGGGAAAGAGCTCCCTCAGCAGAATAATCATCATACAGGAATTTAAAGATACTCATGCGGACACTTTCTCAAAACGCCCCTTACACTTAGTGTAAAAACGGGATGTTTCTACAGCCTAAAGCTGTGCCACCCTACATCCTGCCACCTCACTGTGCTGAACAGGCAGGGCATGCAGCCAGTCCTACTTTTCAATGATTTCAAAACAAACTGTCCTGTGGCACCTTAAAGACCTAACATGTTTTCTTTGGCATGGCTGTTTGTGGGTTGCAGCTCACAGAACGGATCAGAGCCCAGTTCTGGCAAATGAAACTTGCTAGGCCTTTAAGATGGATGCTGTAGCGTTTACTGGGCACCTCAACGGAGCCTGGCCTCCTTTCACTCCTCTGACCACCCAACTGTTCTGCAGGAAAAAAACACATCTCATTAGAGCTTGAAACAACATATGGGATTCATGTAATACTTTGCTTGGACTATCAAAACTGTTGCAGAAGTGGTGCAATTATGGTGTGAGCTTTCTAAACTCTCTAGAATTTGTGAGGCATGACAATACAAAAAAATGGTGGATGAAGACATAAGAAGTATAACAACTGTGTGCCATCAAGTCAATTTGGACTTATGGGGTTCTTTTCCAGGGTTTTCCAGGTAGGGAATACTCCAAAGACGTTTACTCTTCCCTTCTTCTGGAGGGTGCCCTGGGAACTGTGTGGGTTGCCCAAGGCCACCCAGGCTGGCTCTTCTCCTCCCAGGAGGCCCAGTCGCAGGGGGGAATCAAACTCCCAGCCTCTGGCTCCGCAGCCTGAGACTGAACTCACCGAGTTATTCAGGCAATTGACTATAAGGTCAATTGCCTTTTAGGGCCATGACTATAAGGCCGTAAAAGCCCCCCCCCCCGGCCCCAATTATGTAGACTCTCTCATCCTGTTATGACAAAATCTGGAATGCAGCAGCAGCGAGGAAGATTAAAAAAAACATGGAAAAATCCAATTTCCAGCTGATTTTAGCGAGACAAACCATGGCCGAGGCTCAGGGGGCTCCCAGGGGTCTCGAAAAGATGCCCGTCACGGGAGGCGCTGGGGAAACCAGGCAGGGCCGGCGCCCCACCCTTCCTTTCCTTCCTTGGGCGTTTCTCCCGCTTCTCTTCCCAGACTGTTTCCTTTTCCCAGCTCTGCAGCTGTTTCTTCAGCCACACATGCAGTTTTCCAACATGACTCGAAAGAGAGCAACACGTGAATTGTTCTCTGCAGAGCGAGCAATTTTCTGATTGTCAGGCTCTGCAAATCTCTCAAAGCCAGACACTTTCAGTGGGACATGAAGGAACCCGGGCCCCCCTCGCCGCCTCCTTCTCCTCACCCTTGGCCAGCGCCACGGTGGAGTTCTCGGTGTCGATGGTGTACAGGATTCCCTCATAGCGGATCTCGGCCTTGGAGATGAGGCTGATCTTGCTGCCGATGTACGGCGTCCCCCCGCTCATGGCGCCCGCCAGGCCAGGCCAGGCCCCAGACCCCGGCGCGACGGGAAGCGAGGCCTCTCCTCAGGGCTCCGGCCGCGGACTCCGCTTCCTTCTTTCCTTCCTTCCTCCCTGTCGATGGTGTACAGGATTCCCTCATAGCGGATCTCGGCCTTGGAGATGAGGCTGATCTTGCTGCCGATGTACGGCGTCCCCCCGCTCATGGCGCCCGCCAGGCCAGGCCAGGCCCCAGACCCCGGCGCGACGGGAAGCGAGGCCTCTCCTCAGGGCTCCGGCCGCGGACTCCGCTTCCTTCTTTCCTTCCTTCCTTCCTCCCTCACCACCACTACCACCACCACTGCTGCTCGTTCGTTCGTTCTCTCTTCAGGCCGGGCCTTCTTTCCGCCTCCCCGAACGACGCGGCCTTCCTGTCTCTGTCCCTCTCCGTTTGGGTCGGGGTCGCAGCCGTCCGGTGCCTCCTTCGCTACAACCGCCCCGACGGTCCCAACATGGCGGCCGCCGCCCGCTTCCCTCCGCTCTTCTTCTTCCGACGCCGACGCCACGAAATGGATGCCGGGAAGAAGAAGCCCAAGTCTCGCGAGCGCAGAAAAGACGAGGGAGGGAGGGAGGAAGGAGCGCCGGGCTTTTGCGCCGCCATCTTGGCCCTAAAGGCGGGAGAGGAGCTGAGGCGGGAAGCTCTTTTTCCCCTCTCAGAGGAAGCTTTCTTTTTAGATCAATTGTTGGTGGTCGTTCCTTTTAATTCCAGCCCTGGCTTTATTTTTATACAAAAATAACCTATAGAAAATTGTATCAGGCGAATTCCAAAGAAAAATAAGACAAAAAGAGGTGGCACCTTAAAGGCCAACCATTACATTTTAATGTAAGCTTTCATGGACGCGGCCACTTCGTCAGACTTTAAACTTAAAACCTCTTATAATAAACTCGTTCTAAATTAATATTTCATAAAATATAGCCTAATTTTAATTTAAAAACCATCAGCACCTCCACAACAAGTTATATAGTAACCCAAAGAAACATTAAAGTGAATTATATAAAATTATGAACTCTTTTAATGAACATGTTTTAAATTAATATGAATTAAAACATGCTTAGTAAAAGTTTGTAACTTTAATGCATCTTTGGATTACAATATAACCTTATTTTGGGGGCTCTGATGTTAGTACAGATGGCCTGATTGGGGCCAGTGGCAGGTTTGGCCTTGTGGCAGTGGATGGTGGGGGTTGTAGTCCAGCCTACACGCCTAGGTGGGCATCAAGGAGAAGAAGAAAGCGAGGGAGGAGGGGGAAATTGCCTGAATTTGTAATAAATCAGCCTAATTAGTAAAAATGGCCCGTTACTTGTCACCATGCAGCGTCTTGGGCAGAGAGCTTCTGTTGCTGAATATTTATTTATTTATTTATTTAATAAAATGTTTTTGCCCCGCCTTTCTCCTTTGCATAATTAAAAAGACAATATTTCAAAGTTAAAAACAGTTAAGTATCCAAATATTTAAAAAGAACTGAATAAACATTATATCAAAGATGGTAAATAAAAACGCTAAAACATATTTAAAACAACAATCTATTTAAAAAACCCTCCCGGACCGCCAGTTGTTATAGAAAAACCTGGCTGAACAAAAATTATATTAGAAAGTATACTCAGAATTTTAATGCTTTTCTTCTTGAGCAAGAAGTGATAGCAGCTAATAAATTTAACATGGATTTTTAAAAAGTAGTTTGCTTCATCCTCAGGAGTCGCTGGAATCCCGGTATTTTGGAAAAGCCCTTTATATGGGATGGAGAACAACCCTTGATAGGGTTATGTTGCCCTAGTACTTTATAAACTCTTCTAAAGTTCTCCACAGAGGTCTGCCGTGTGGCTGGGAGATTTATGGGGTTCAGAAGGTTCAAGATGATAGAAGTGGATTTCTGTACAGATGGGAGTGGCAAAAGGTGATGACCATAGGGGTTGCCCACTAGATTTGGGGGTGACTTTGATGTAGTTGAAAAGGGTAACACCATGGATATGTCCTCTTGCCCGTCGCATGGTAAAGAAAGTCCTCTTCCTGTCTCAGGGACCTCTGGCAAACTTCTTCGTTAAACAACATTATTTATTTACTAATTTAAAATGTTTTTACCCCACCTTTGTCCTTACAAAGAACCCAAGGTGGCTTACGTCATGACACGGCAATATTTAAAAGGTAAAAACGGCATGCATACAAATATTTTTACACATAGGTTCCCGAGTTTTGCAGGACCTCTGGACTGTGTCATTGTGACACCAGTGGTAGGAAACTACCGGCTTAAACAAATAAGAGAGGTTTTTCTGCATTTAATCTGCTTTGGCTGCAAATAAAGCTGGACAAACACGATGTAAGGATCATAAATAATTCCCAGTGCTCCAAGGTGGGCATTTGGAGAAGGTGCAGAAAGCAACAGTCACGGAAGGGCCTGGGTCACCTGTCACACTTTTCTGCTCCTGCTGCCCTTCCATTGCTTCGCTCCCCATGGGATTTCAAACATTACTGTACTCTCCTCAGCTGCAGATTTAGCAATACATCTACTTGCTGGGAAGGAGGGGTATAAAATGAAAACGCTCTGGCCTTCAGCGGAGCCGTGCACCCTGTGTACGTGCGCCTACGTTTCCACACCTCTGCACAACATACAACCAGCACAGAAAGTTAGGCTGGTGCTGGCTCCATTTGTTTACTTGACAGAAAGCTACCCGAACAGCCTGAAAAAGGAATGGACATTTATGTTCTCTGAGTCCTAAAATAAGATTTAGGATGTCGAACATCTTCATGAATGGAAAAAGCTCCCTGTCAGGTTGAAAGAACTACTCTACCACACTAGCTGTGATGATAAGGTGACAAGGGGCAATCTCCTCTCTCCACTCTGTGCACCAACCTGTCCATCATTTCAGCTTTTCTTCCTGCTGCTGCTGCTGCTCCTCTATATTTCCAGTAATACAGTCTACTCGCAGTTCCAACTGATCAAGGCTTGTGGCTCACCCATTTGTTCTTGGATAAGTGCGTCATTCTTATTCTTGGCTCCCTTGGTGCCTTTAACGTAGCTTGGTGCCATTTTGGAACATCTGAATGGTGCATTTTGGACCAAAGATTTGAGCACATCTTTTGCCAAAAAAGACATTAGATCACATCTCAGCAGGTGGCCTACCTCGACTTCCATGCCTAATTGCAGTATTGCCATCAGGCTAGAGCCAATAGTGAGAAGGATAAATGGCGGAAGTGCAAGATCACGGGTGGTATGCAGATAAGCTAAACAACATGGCAATCTTGGCTGTCACCTAGCCCAGACTCCCTTTCATGCTCCATATCATAGCAGATGTGGGACCAGGCAAAGGGGCGTCTGCCATATATGACTTCTCCTGTTGTGTTTGAATTCAGGCAGAACTTTCTGTGTACACAGTGGAGGCTTTCTGTTTGCCTGTGGTTGGTATTTACTAACAGAAAGAGGAGAATGAGGTGGGATCTCTTTATCACTGTAGCCAAGATGCCATTTGGTGTTTAGTACTAACAGAAAGAGGAGAATGAGGTGGGACCTCTTTATCCCTCTTTATTGTAGCCAAGATGCCATTTGGTGTTCAACAGTCTAGCAGACAGTTGAAAGGTGATAATAAGCCTTTTTGAGATGGTTATTATGGGGATGACATGTTAAAATGAATCAGGCATTAAGCTGCTTAAGTTCTCTAAACCAGTAGCAGTAACGTATTTATGTAGAAAGTTTTTGAGGAAACTTTGGAAGATTAGGCTTAGGAGTTTGATAAAAACCCAGACTGAAACTACACAGTCCAGAAGAACTGGATGCTATCCATTGTGACTCCTGCCATAACATCATGCCAAGCCATGCAGCTGATTAAGATAGTGTCCAACCTGTTTTTTCTTGTTCTTTTATATTTCCCTTCACCTGGAAACTCTGCAGTTTTAGGCAACACAGGTCCACCCTTTTTTTCCCAAAGGTTGTCTGCTGTTAAAAGTATTTTATAACCTTCCTTCCTTCCAAAAGCCAATTGCATAGGCCAATGAGAATTATTAATCTTGGAAAACATTTCTGCTCTTATACCGTCTAGTTGTGTCTGCAAATGTGCACCCCTGAGGGAACTGCAGACACAAAGGTCATTGCTTTCCAAATTCTGAGAGACAGACACAATGCATCTCCAAATGCATATTTGATGGAAGGGCAGTGTTGCTGTAAACAAGTTAAAGCATCTTGAACTTTATAGCCTTTTGTCACTTTCCACTATAGAATTATAAAGTGTGCAGCTATATGTTTGTGCACCTGCTTTTTTTAAAAAAATCACAATACTCAGGTGGCTGTGGTGGACCAAAGGCAGTTGGTCCTGGCAGGATACCAGGCAAAGCCAGGCAGTCAGCAACCACTGCCTGGACCTCTGTGAGCTAAACGTCAAGCATTATAGAGATATCAAAGTCACAGTCAGGTAAACAGTTTAAGCACGTTGGGAACAACTGGAATCAAAGACACGGAGGGCCAACGTCTGAGGCTATGTTGTTTGCCACCGTGGGAAGCAGGAAGCACAGGCAAAGAGAATCAAGCAGAGGCCCAATGGATGCCCAGCAACACAAAGCTCCCAACATGGCCTGGAAGTACATAGGGTCCAGGTGCTGATGGCATGAGCTGTAGTTGAGTCTAAAAGAACAGTGCTGCCCTAAGACTTCGATATTTCACAAGGAGGGCTGTTAGATGCAGGAATGTAGCACAGCTGGCAAAACTGTACCCACACTGCTTGTGTGATTTCCACTTTGTCATGGAGTCATCCAAATGAAGAATCTTCCAAAATCTACAGGTGGGTGATGAATTTATTGCAAGCAACTATAAATTGTTTCTTTTAAGGGTTGGAAGCATGAAGTTCAAAAATGGGTAAATGTTCCTTTCTGCCTTTTCTGCAACTCTATTCTGCTCTGGCCGTCCAGATTTAATGGAGTCACCATTAGAACAGGGCTCTCTTAAAGCTTCCTCTCTGTTGAGTTGTTGCTTTCCCCTCCTTTGGTTGCCCAACTGCCCTAGTGCTAAATTAGCAAGCCTTTAAAAGAAAAGAAAAGAAAAGAAAGAGGAACATGGAATGAGAAGAGAGAAACAAGCAGACCTAGACG